TCCCCCGAGGGTCATGATTTGAACAAACTTGAAACTACACAACCTGAGGATGCTTCTATATCAATATGATCAATTATGACTTTGTTATTCTTGAAAAGAAGATCTTCAAAGAATTTTCCTATATATTTCTATGTAAAACTGTGGTTGGCCATTTCGGCCCCGCCCTACCCCTGGGGGTCATGATTTGAACAAACTTGAATTTACACAACCTGAGGATGCTTCCATATCAATATGATCAATTATGGCTTTGTTATTCTTGAGAAGATGATTTTGAACAAACTTAAATCTACATTACCTGAGGATGTTTCCCTATAAGTTTCATCTTTCCTGGCATAGTAGTTCTTGAGAAGAAGATGTTTAAAACATATCACCAAATTTTTATTAATTCCCAATTATCTCCCCTTGAATGATGGCATGACCCTTCATTTGAAAAAAAAAACTCGAATTCCCTCTACTCAAGGATGCTTTGTGGCAAGTTTGGTTGAAATTGGCCCAGAAGTTCTTGAGAAGAAGTCGAAAATGTGAAAAGTTTACAGACAGACAGACGGACGCCGTACAAAATGTGATCAGAAAAGCTCACTTAAGCCTTCGGCTAAGGGTGAGCTAAAAATACTATTTTTAGTAACTATGGCAATACTGTTCATCGATATTAAAACCTGAAGTACGTATCTTACAGTATTCTACTTGTGTTCCAAGTTATATTGAAATCAGACCTAAACTGTGGCAGGAGTTGCGTTTTAAAAATATTTTACAAGCGGACAGGCGGAGATACAAACAGACAGACGACGGACAGCTTGCAATCGCGTGAGCTCTTCTGGTGTCTGCCCAGTATACAGCTAAAATGATATACAGATATTCTTAAAATAAACAAAAATATCCATATATTAAGTTTATTCACAATAATCGTACATTTATGTAAAATATGTAAGAAACATTGCACAACCCAGTCTTAACTGCTGGTACCCATTACAACAATCATCAGAGGTAGCCTCCCTGGTTCCCAAATAAAGATTTAATCTTGGAATTATTAGGATTTACTGGACTTAAGACGTCGGGGTAAAGTTTTTCCAGATATTCCCAAACAGCCTAAGCCGTGAGGGCCTGTCCATGCTAAATAAAATATACAAAAAAAAAAAAAAACAAAAAAAAAACAAACAAAGGTAATCGTTGTTGATGAGAATATCGTTAAGATTTCACGATGATGCAAACTACACGTAGTAATCTGGTCCAAGTAACGAGTAAATGATACCACTCACCCTATATTTTTTGCATTTCGAAACTTCATAAAAATCCTTACAAACAAAGACACATTGTGGGTTCCAGTAAATGTTCAATCAAACCTCTTTTTTTACTCCTCACTATGATACTGACAGTGCAAAATCTTACGCGTGAAAAGAAGAAAACACTTGCTGTGGCCTTCAACTCGACATTTAGATGTATCGACGATGTATTGTCAATTAATAATAGATAATTTCCATTCCTACGTCGATACGATATATCCTATATAACCACACAGTCTTGGATATTTTACTTGAAAAAGACGTTAATGGTAATCTTACAGCCAAGCTTTATGATAAACGTGATGACTTTAACTTTTCTATCGTCAGCTTCCCTTACTTATGCAGCAATGTACCTTCATCACCTGCGTAGAGAGTATGTTAATCTCAGTTGCTTCGATTCACAAGAGCATGCTGTAAGTGTGAGCAACTTCTAAAGCGAGGTGAATTATTGACAAGCAAGTTGATGAAACAAGAATATCAGCAGTCTCGATTAAAGACATAATTCGTAAGTTCTATGATCGATACAATGACTTTGTCAGCAAATACAATTATCTGGTTGGAGAAGCTGTATCCAGACAAAATGTAATATCCTCTACATTATGGGTAGAAGAGGGGCTGTATCCAGACAAAATGTAATATCCTCCACATTCTGGTTGGAAGGAGCTGTGTCTAGACAAAATGTAATATACTTTACATTCCGGGTAGGAAGGAGCTGTATCTAAACAAAATGTAATATCCTCTACATTCTGGTTGGAGGGAGCTGTATCTAAACAAAATGTAATATCCTCTACATTCTGGTTGGAGGAAGCTGTATCCAGACAAAATGTAATATTCTCTACATTCTGGGTAGGAGGGAGCTGTATCCAGACAAAATGTAATATCCTCTACATTCTGGTTAGAGGGAGCTGTATCCAGACAAACTGTAATATCCTCTACATTCTGGTTAGAGGGAGCTGTATCCAGACAAAATGTAATATCCTCTACATTCTGGATGAAGGAAGCTGTATCAAGACAAAATGTAATATCCTCTACATACTGGGTTGGAGGAAGCTGTATCTAGACAAAATATTATATCCTCTACATTTTGGGTAGGAGGGAGCTTTATCTAAAGAAAATGTAATATCCTCTTCATTCTTGGTAAGAGGAAGCTGTATCCAGACAAAATGTAATATCCTCTACATTCTGGATAGGAGGGAGCCGTATCTAGACAAAATGTAACATCCTCTACATTCTGGTTGGAGGAAGCTGTATCAAGACAAAATGTAATATCCTCTACATACTGGGTTGGAGGAAGCTGTATCTAGACAAAATATTATATCCTCTACATTTTGGGTAGGAGGGAGCTTTATCTAAAGAAAATGTAATATCCTCTTCATTCTTGGTAAGAGGAAGCTGTATCCAGACAAAATGTAATATCCTCTACATTCTGGATAGGAGGGAGCCGTATCTAGACAAAATGTAACATCCTCTACATTCTGGTTGGAGGAAGCTGTATCCAGACAAAATGTAATATCCTCTACATTCTGGGTTGGAGGAAGCTGTATATAGACAAAATATTATATCCTCTACATTGTGGGTAGGAGGGAGCTGTATCCAGACAAAATAGTATATCCTCTACATTCTGGGTAGGAGGGAGCTGTATCCAGACAAAATGTATTATTATAACTCATTATAAATATTCTACACAACGCGTTATCTGATTGGTTCTAGGTTATCACGTGATCGGGCCGTAAAACTTCATATTTCACGGCCGTCGGCACGCTTTTCATCATATTCCACCTGTTCGGTTACTTCGTGCATTCTCCCGCAATAATTATCGTTCGTTGAATGAAAACACCCGAGAGTAATAGACGTCACAATAGTCTGGTTTACGTCACAAAACTGATGATAAGCTTAATGTGTCAAAGCGTTTTCGTAACTTTACGTTAAAAATGAAAGTGAATTTGAGGATGGTGCCGAATTTGAAAGTTAATGTTTATTTCAATGGCTTTGCTTGTTTCGGTATAACAAACAATTAATTGCATGAATGTTCGGGAAACATGAAGCCCGCGGGGAATATGATTTTTTCTTGGCTGAATAAGTCTTCATATTTCCATCACTATCATGCAATAAATGTATAATATCCTCTTCATTCTGGGAAGAAGGGAGCTGTATCTAGACAAAATGTAATATCCTCTACATTCTGGTTGGAGGGAGCTGTCTCTAGACAAACTGTAATATCCTCTACATTCTGGTTAGAGGGAGCTGTATCCAGACAAAATGTAATATCCTCTACATTCTGGTTGGAGGAAGCTGTATCCAGACAAAATGTAATATTCTCTACATTCTGGTTGGAGGGAGCTGTATCCAGACAAAATGTAATATCCTCTTCATTCTGGGTAGGAGGGAGCTGTATCCAGACAAAAAGTAAAATCCTCTACATTCTGGATGGACGAGGCTGTATCTATACAAAATGAAATATCCTCTTCATTCTGTTGGATGAAGCTGTATCCAGACAAAATGTAATATCCTCTACTTCTGGGTAGGATGAAGGTGTATCTAAACAAACTCTGAATCCTCTTCATTCTGGGTAGGAGGGAGCTGTATCTAGTCAAAATGTAATATCCTCTACATTCTGGGTAGGGGGAGCTGTATCCAGATAAAATGTAATATCCTCTACATTCTGGTTGGAGGAAGCTGTATCCAGACAAAATGTAATATTCTCTACATTCTGGGTAGGAGGGAGCTGTATCCAGAGAAAATGTAATATACTCTACATTCTGGGTAGGAGTGAGCTGTGTCTAGACAAAATGTAATATCCTCTACATTCTGGGTAGGAGGGAGCTGTATCTAAACAAAATGTAATATCCTCTTCATTCTGGGTAGGAGGGAGCTGTATCCAGACAAAACTGGTAACTACATGTATACAATTATCACTGAGCATGAATTAAAGGTACTTGGACACAGATTTGAAGTTAATTTTTTCTCTATAATATTACGACCTATAAATTTTAATAGCATTTCTCACAAAAATTAATTAAAAATCTTATTTCATTTAAAAGTTCAAAACTTCAATTTTTTTGTGGGTTTGGTTGACACATCCTTGCATTTTCACAAATTTTAATTTTACTCTTAATACTTAGGAAAAGTGGCAATCTTGTTGTGTATAAATGAAAAATATAAATACTATAGTCCAGAATATTTAGAGTCGACATGTTCGAAAGCAAAAGAAACACTCAATATATTTTCAGTCTGTGTAGTTGTGGTGAGCAGACTTTGACGATTGAACGCACCCGGTGAATCGTAAACATCAACAATAACAGAGCTCGTGCCCTGTTTACAAAAAACTGTGTACATAACACGGGTGTGATCGATTTGCTAAACTCTGTACAAAACACTTAGCTCGGAATGACGATACTTGTGAAGGAGTTTTGCTTTGTAATATTTCTACTCTGAATATATTTATTTTCTGGATTAAAGTTTTAATATGTTTCAATTATACAAAACAAGATTGCCACTTTTCCTAAGGATTAAAAATAAAGTTAAAATTTGTGAAAGTGCAAGGATGTGTCAATCAAACCCGCCAAAAAATTTAAAGTTTTAATTTTTGAATGAAATAAGATTTTTAATTAATTTTTGTGTTATATGCTATTAAAATATATAATTCGTGATATTATACAGAAAATATTAACTTTAAATCTGTGTCCAAGTACCTTTAAAGGTTTCTTGAATTTTTGAGTGATGTGCTGTTACGTATGAGCTATACAGTATACATGTATGTCATCCAATACATCTCATCACGGGTAAATATAATTATCACTGAACGTAAATTAGGGCCATCTTTTATGTGTGAGTGAGATTCTGTCAGGTTGGATGTTCCTTTCAGTTGAATTCCTGTGACAGTAACGGTGTTTTGGAGGGAAGGTGGACCGCGGAGTACCCGGATGACTGCACGGTGCCCTGGAAGTGGACTGGGAGCGTTCCAATCGTCAAAGAGTACAACACCAACGGTAACAAGCCTGTCCGGTACGGTCAATGCTGGGTGTTCTCCGGACTCACCACCACAAGTAAGTCCATCCATTATATCAGATGTGTAATCTTATGCAATACAGTGTCGAGAACACGTGGTCAACCTGGATTTGTTTACCTTTAGTCTGTCGCTGTCTTGGGATACCTACACGGTCTGCGACCAACTTTGATTCTGCACATGACACAGACAGTAGCATGACCATAGACTCCCACTGGGACGAAGAGGGGGAACCCATAGAAGATATGAACGATTCTGTATGGTGAGTTGCCATAATCAAATAATAAAAAATGTTTTCAGTGTTGTATGTAAGAACTCGAAAACGTTTTGTTATATATAGGAACTTTCACGTTTGGAACGAATCATGGTTTCGACGTTTAGATTTACCGGAGGGCTATGACGGTTGGCAAGCACATGACGCCACGCCACAAGAGGCTAGCGAAGGTTTGTTTTCAATTATCGTATAAGATAAAATTATGTCAGAAATTGTGTTATAGTGTATTTTAGGCAGAAATTTAATCACTAAATTCCTCACATTTTCATCTGTTTTGATTCGTATGTTCTTTGTATACAGGAGTGATGAGGTGTGGCCCCGCCCCTTTGAAGGCCATAAAAGAAGGTCACGTGTATCTCTGCTACGATATACCCTTCATATACGCCGAGGTCAATGGAGATCGTGTACAGTGGGTGGTAGGTTAACAAACATATCCTCACAAAAAATTCGTGGGGTGAAATAGTAATTACATCATACATGTGTCTGCCTGTCCATTCGTCCGTCCGATCAATCTTCCATGGGCTATAACTTTGTATTGAAGTTCAATTGTTTATGACCGGAAAGGGGGTGTCTTGACTTGGACAAAAGGTCATTCCGGTAGAATGAGGTCACTGATAAAAAGTATTTCAAGAAACTTATTAGGTTATAACTTTGTAATGGAAAAAATCCTTAGTAAAAAGATTATTATGACCGAAAAATGTGTCGCGACCTCAAACCAAGATCAATGAGGATCAAGTTGTCTATGCTATAATTCTTTGGAAATTTGTACATGGTACACAATTTTTTTTATGGCATGAGGGTGTCAAGACCTTGACCCGAAGTCATTGTGACAAAATGGAGGTCCTTGACAGTGAAATGCATGCATGACCGTTCTTTCATATGTAGAAATATAGGTTATCCATTTCCATTAAATAAATACAAAGATTACTGATGACTTCTTAGAGGACATGGCATTTTTTCTAGCAAGTTTGACAGCTGCTTCTTCAACAAAAATGGAACTCGTAAGTTTACTTACCTCGTCATTGGTCATTTGAAAAATTATTTTGTTAAAACAAATTCTGATTGTACACATAAGTACTCTGAAGTTGACATCAAGAAGATGCTTGAGTTTCTGATTGACAATATCTATGTGGTTTTTGGAGACCAGGTTTTCCAACAATCTATTGGAATTCCCATGGGTACAAATTGCGCTCCGTTATTAGCAGACTTATTTTTATATTCATATGAAGCAGAATTTATGCAAAATCTTTTGCGTGAAAAGAAAAAAACACTTGCTGTGGCCTTCAACTCGACATTTAGATATATCGACGACGTATTGTCAATTAATAATGATAATTTCCATTCCTACGTCGACACGATATATCCTGGTGAGCTTGAGATAAAAGATACCACAGAGTCCAACACATCTGCTTCATACTTGGATATTTTACTTGAAAAAGACACAAATGGTAATCTAACAACCAAGCTATATGATAAACGTGATGACTTTAACTTTTCTATCGTCAACTTCCCTTACTTATGCAGCAATATACCTTCATCACCTGCATACGGAGTATTTATATCTCAGTTGATTCGATACGCAAGAGCATGCTCTACGTATGAACAATTTCTTAAACGAGGTAAATTATTGACAAGCAAGTTGATGAAACAAGAATATCAACAGTCTCGTTTAAAGTCATCATTTCGTAAATTCTATGGTCGATACAATGACCTTGTCAGCAAATACAATTTATCATTGAATGAAATGCTGACTGACGTTTTTCATACCAATTGTTAGTCCATTATTTATACACTGAATTGACTACGGATTTTTTCCGTTATTTCCTGATTATGACAATGAGCACACGGCGGGTGTGACCGGTCAGCAGGGGATGCTCACTCCTCCATGGCACCTGATCCCACCTCTGATGTTTCGGAGGTCCGTGTTTGCTCTGCTCTTGTTTTGTATATTTGTTTAATGGACGTTGAGATTGAATACTGTTCGTTATTTCCATATCCTTATTTGATTGATTGATTGTATATTGTTAACGTCCCTCTCGAAAATTTTTCACTCATATGGAGGCGTCACCACTTGTCGGTGCAGTGTTGTAAATTTCATCGTACACTCGGCACTAGGGCCAATGAGGAGGGAAGGATTTTTTTCGTACCAGCATCTACTGCTACACGGGACCTCCATTTATACGGTGGGATTCGAACCCGTAGCAAGTTCGATGTCACATTAAAAAAATACATGTATAAATAGTGACTTTGCTCGAGTTGTATGTTCTGGTTTTCGCTTTTGAAATATTATGGTATGTAGGTCAAGAGAGATGGTACCATGGAAGTAAGTCAAATTCACCATCACGCCGTTGGTTCATTCATCAGCACAAAAGATGTTGGATCCTCCTACAGACATGATGTGACGCACCTGTATAAATACCCAGAAGGTGAGGAAATCCCCTGGATAAAAAAAAATCCACATGGAAGGAATGATACATGCTAAAATTATCTTCCACATTTAATAAATTTTACAATTTAAAGAGCCGAAGAAATATTTCCCTTTCTTTCAACATCTTACCTTTACAATATTTATTTTGAATGAACAGGAAGTGACGAGGAACGGCGAGTGGCCCATTTTGTCAATAGATACAGTACAAGGAAGAAACAGAATATTTATAACCTTGACACGCCTAAGGAGTTAGATTTCACGATTACGTCACCAGAGGAAACACTTATAGGAGACGACCTAGAAATAAAGGTCGCTGTCAAAAACATGACAGATCATTCCCGCACAGTTAATTTGACCTTGACCCTGGTCAATGCCTACTGCAATGGGGTTTCGGGGTCACGAGTCATAACTCAAACGTTTAAGGAAACCATCGGAAACAAAGATGGTAAAGTTCAAACTGTGTACAACTTTTAAATTTATAACTTTTTAAAAAACAAGGATGGGAAACAGACTGTTGAGAGGAAGAATGAACAAATGTTTGATTCGACAAATATATATTTTGGGTTTCCTATAGCAAAAATGGACACTGTCATTATATTGATATGGGAGGCGAGAGTATCATTTAGTGAGCTCATTGCTCTCAGTACCTCTACAGTTTTGGCAGGAAAAATGTTCAAAGACAGTGGACTATTTGTGAGCAGAAATCCCTGCTGTTTATAAGCATTGGGCAAATAATAAAAATAATGAATTCAATTACTTATTCTTGCTCTTTTGCATGCTTAAAGTATTTTAATCTAATAAAAAGTGTAAATTACAGTAAATAACATTTTTAAAAATCTTACTTCTTAGGGCAGATCACTCTAACTGCATAAAACTTCACTCTCCTACAGCTCTTTAGTGTGCAATGTTTAGAGCTTCCTTAATAATATTTAGTGCTATTTCATTCCAAATTATCAAAATTCTCAATTTAGTTGTTCTTATACATTGTTCATGCATATAAATGTTCATGCACGCATTCTGAGGATTTACTGAAACATAATAACTAAGAGGATATATACTACATGTACCTCAGGAATACTTTTGGAATGCTGATTAATTCGTGGATACTGAAAGAAAATTCTAAACGATGAAATACATTTTATGTGATCTTTTTATTACTTGTGATTTAAGCCTTTTTAAAATACACAAACTTATACAATATCCACATAATTATAAATCCTCTTAATATGAAGCATTTGATATTTTTACATCACATAGTGCATGTAGATCCGCCTCCGGGAGCTTTGACAATAACATAGAGATAGTTGCAAAGTCGGATACTACAAGTACATTAAACCTTATTTACGCCAGATTATTTATTAATAAGGATTTACTGTGATTTGACTCATATCCATAGTGCCTGTTGTTGATGAGTTTAATTAGATACATTGTGCAATGTAAGTTTATATGTAAATTGCTTTAACTCTATATATATTGAAGATTAGTGCATTGTGTATATTGTTTTGAGCATGAAGTTAACATAATTTATGACTATACAAAAGAATATTACTGTAGGAGACTCTCTCTCTCTCTCTCTCTCTCTCTCTCTCTCTCTCTCTCATTGTACGAGAACCATACAAGTCTGTTGTCATTATTCTTTCCAAACATTTTTTTAAACTTGCTGTGAAAGATTTTTGAAAATATTTAAATCAAACAACTGGAACTCGAACTATTGGCCTTGCTCAGACTACTTTTCCACTCAAAAGGGATAAGAAATCCTTGCTTGCGGTAATACATAATAGCTATCTATCTAGCTTCTATTACAGCTTTTTAGATTAAATTATGCTCATACATGTACGGATGCAGGCTTTTGTTATTTTGAACATTGCAGAATCCGATATTGACGTTTTCCTATTATGAAGGCTGTCTTACATAACATGCATTCTTACTGATAACAATTACACAGCAATTTATTGCAGCATTTGCAAGGTGCTGGTAATTCCTGGAGCATGTTTTAAAAATTCTTATACAATGACTGCATTTCTTTCAAATACGATACACATACTAGTAATTGATTTTGAGTGCGACATATGACTTTCTTCTAATATTTCGACACGGATTAACTTTAACTTCGCCACAAGTTAAAAATAAAGTTAAATTGGAGTTCCATTTATTAGAACCGGTTGATCTTTAATATTCGGACTTCTTCAGTACATTAAAAAGTTGGCGCCGTCAACATGGCTCTGTGGGGCGTGTTATCTAACCTATTTTCTGAGGTCTGGCGCTTTGCTTTCCCATCTAAAGATGACGAGACTGAAGTGCGTAAAAGGTAAGTTAAATTTAAGGAGGAATGCCACACGAACTTCTTATTTTATAGATCTCTGAGTCAACCTTTTTTAAACAATTGTTTCAGCATCGAAAGGCCGACGTTAGCTCTCAATTATTTTATATGAATTTTTTTTGTATTTTTTCAAAGAAAATGAAAAAAAAATTATTTCCATCAAAATAAGACGCTTTCTTGTAAAAAAAATTTACTGTAAATGAATGCATCACATTAATATCTAAGATATGTGAAGAAAAGCCGTATAGATATTAAAACTTTTTAGATAAAAAAATATTTATGAAAATAAAACACAGAAGTTGTGAATATTTTTTAAATTTGTGGTTAGAATTTTCTTAAAACCAGTCACAACTGGGGAGAACATGTTCGTTAATCAAATTGAATTAATTGAAACAAAAATAGCGAAATTTTAGATAAATTACTTTTTTTTTAATTTTGGCCAATCTCGATCAAAATCAAACCGATCCCGACCATAACTGTACAATTATTAGAATTAAATACCATTTCCCCGAGAAAACTAGTCTGATTAGGTGTAATAAGGGTTAAAACATTATTAAACTTGACAATAACATAGAATTCTTCATTGTAAATACATGAAGATACAATAAATGAGTAGTTTATTCATTTTGTGTTAATTTTGATCGGGACCAGTTTAATTTTGATCGGGTCAGGTCCAAATATTGAAAAAATTATTTTCTCTTAAATTCCTCAATTTCGTTTCAATTTCTTTTTAAAATATGATTGACAAACATGTTCTCCTCAGTTGTGACTAGTTTTATGGTGTTTTTAACCATGGGTTTAGAAAATATTCACAAATAATGTGTTTTATTTTCATAAATATTTTTTTTTATAAAAAAAAAATTAAAAAGTCTAACCAGCCTTTCTTTATATGTTTAATTAGATATTAATATGATAATTTATTTACAGCAAACTTTTAACTCGAAAACATCTTAGTTGGATATAATTAATTTTTTTTTCATTTTCTTTGAAAAAAATACAAAGAAATTCATATAAAATAAATAAGAGCTAATATTGACCTTTCAATGACAAAACCCTTGTTTAAAAAGGATGACTCAAAGATCTATAAAATAAAAAGTTGGTGTGGCATTCCATCTTAAACCCAGACTTGTTGCATACAGACCGTTGAAAACAGATTTTTTTCTGGTATTAAGGAGTTTTAGAAAACGAGATGAGTTTTCTCGAGTTTTTCGAAGTTTAAGGCAATGCTTTTGGTTTCCATAGTTCTAATTTGCTCTTCCCGAAAATATATTAGTGTTAATGTGCTTTGCAGAAGTTACTTTGATACACCAATCCATGTCTCTTGGGGTGAGGGTGGAGTGGGGTATACAATTATAACAGCATGATCATTTCAGTACATGATAAGAAATTAATCATTTTCACCACGGATGTATATATTTTATCAATGTGAACAATATTTCAAATTTCATACAAGTTTCTTGTTTTTGTTTGGTTGGTTTTTTAAGATCTTAACTATGTTACTAGTATGTATTTTTGGCCTCTGTATGGATTTTAAGAAAATGTATTTACCATGTAATATCTTATTAGGGGACAGTATATCTAGAAAACTTGTATACTTCCAATGCTGCTAGCAAGCTATTTCATGCAACCTAGCATGAAGAACATATAGTATGTAGATAATACTTAGGTTTGTAACACGTGGATGTTACAATTTGAACCGTTTACATTCATATCAGTTACATTGAAAAAATTTGGAATTTTTTTTCCTGATGCCATCTTTGCATTTTAATGCCAGGTATCGAAACTTTAGTAAGCTCAGGCTTCGATCAATTATTGTTCATCAAAACAACAAGTTTTAAAAAAAAACCACTTGTATTCACCACATATAATAAACTACAAAGAACACATCAGGGATAGGACTTTTTAAAGTGTTGATCATTTCATTATGGACAGGCCCCGAAATAGAAAACCCCTGGAGAGAAGGAAGAGGGGAGAATAAATACCCTGTCTGACGAGGAACTGAGGTCCAGAAGCACGATCCTTAAACCCACAGACAAACGTGAGTATAAAGCACCCGTGTCCTTAAACCCACAGACAAACGTGAGTATATGGCACCAAAGTCCTTAAACCCACAGACAAACGCGAGTATATAACACCCGTGTCCTTAAACCTACAGACAAACGTGAGTATATAACACCCGTGTCCTTAACCCACAGACAAACGTGAGTATACAGCACCAAAGTCCTTAAACCCACAGACAAACGTGAGTAATATAACACCGATGTCTTTAAACCCAAAGACAAAATTGAGTATATAGCACCAAAGTCCTTAAACCCACAGACAAACGTAAGTATATCGCACCCGTGTCTTCAAACCCACAGACAAACGTGTGTATATAGCACCAAAGTCCTGAAACCCACAGACAAACGTGAGTATATGGCACCCGTGTTCAAACCCACAGACAAACGTGAGTATATAACACCCATGTCCTTAAAGCCACAGACGAACGTGAGTATAAAGCACCATGTCCTTAAACCCACAGACAAACGTGAGTATATAACACCCGTGTCATTAAACCCACAGACCAAGGGAAGTATACACCGTGTCCTTAAACCCACAGACAAACGTAAGTATACAGCACTCACGTCCTTAAACCCACAGACAAACGTAAGTATATGGCACCCGTGTCCTTAAACCCACAGACAAACATGAGTATATAACACCCGTCTCCTTAAACTCACAGACATTCATGAGTATATAACACCCATGTCCTTAAACCGACAGACAAACATGAGTATATAGCACCCATGTCCTTAAACCGACAGACAATTGTGAGATTTTTAGCACCCATGTCCTTAAACCGACAGAACGACAGATAAACATGAGTTTATAAAACTAATGTCTTTACACCGACAGGCAAAATTAAATCTGCCTCTTTTAAAAAGCAAAGTAGTATATTAAAA